TTCCTTCTACAATTGGATAAATGATTACATGATTTGATCCTCTTATTTCCTCCCTTTATAATAGGATCAATCATTTTATGATTTGATCCTTTTTAGCAAGGACATTAGAAGAAATAGAGCTATGCTTGGAGTATTTAAGGGAAATCTCTTCAAATTCAGCCCACAAATATGCAAATTGAAGTGTTTGAGGACATTTTAAAACTACAAGGTTTTTAAGATCATCTTTCAACCCATTGAGGAACAAATCCTACTTATCACTCCTTAACACTAGTAGATAGGTGATACTAACCCAAGAATCAAATATCTCAATTACTCCTTAATTGAGCCTTCTTGCTTCACCATTTTCATCGTCATTTTGAAATCAACAAAATTCACATGGCAGCCATAGACACCCACAACAAGTCTTGCATACAAATCTTGGCAAAAATCATACCAAGAAGGCGATATACCCTATTTTGTGTGTAAATTCCTAACCATTGTAATTCTCCACCCTTAAAATGCAAACTAGCAATTTGTAACTTGAATTCTTTAGCAATTTTATGGGCATGAAATACTGAATACATGTAAACACCCACAACTTAAGATCTCCAATTTCATCAAATTGGGGAAAACTAGTTCTTTGTAATCTAGTTATATTGCTAAATAATCTAATATAAAATTGGGACCAAATTTCCTTACAATGGTTTCTTGGTGAGAAACATGGTTATTCCATCTCGGTGTCCTCAAGAAATTCTCTTCTCTTTACAAAAAAAGAAAACCCACATTTAGCAACTAAATTATTGATCACTAAACCCTTATGTTTTGTCAAAAGTTAGAACTAGTAATGAAATTTAGACCGTTAATAAAACCCTTGTCACTAATGCTCCTAATAACAAATTTAGCACCTATCATAGAAAAGAATTTTATAATGACGATATTTTGGTTTCATCGCAATTTCCAATTGCCATACAATTTCTTTCCCTCCCTTTTGATAATTTTGCCAAAAAATCTCAATTTTTATCATGTATATTATATCTTGTGAATTTATTTGGGTAACATTAAGGTTTGTGATGAGTTTTAGTGACAAATTTTATTATCCAAAGATCATATTTTATCTATGATCATTTTTCAATGACAAATATCTCTTTAATGACAAATTTTTTCATCATCATTGATCGTGTTGGTATTTATGGTCAAAATTTGAAATTTGTTAAAATTATGATGAGTTGTAGTAATGATTTTCATAATCATAAGCATGTACTCTCTGTAATAGTTTTTTAGTGATGAAATATACTTTTAGTGATTCATTTTTGGTCATCATTAAACGTGTGGATATATGTGACTAATAATTGAAATCTGTCTTAATTGTGATGGATTGTAATGATGATTTTTATTGTTACAAACTTATTTTTTCTTTGTGACCATTTTCCAATGATAAAATTTCTTTTTAGTGATGAATTTTTTTCAACATCGTTTAATACACATGTATCTATTACTAATTTTTAAAATATGTCATAATTGTGTTAAGTTATATTGACAATTTCAATTTTTGTCACTAAAAACTCCTCTACTTCTAGTGCCTGAACTCACATCCATTTTGTATATGTTATTGCACCCATGGATTTACTGCCATTGTCATACTACACTAGAAATTAGAAAATGAGAGAATTGGGTTTTTCCACAAGGGTATCAACGAGATGATTCAATAAATTGAGTTATATATATATATTTTGGAATTTTGTGTGTGTGAAAGAATTCTGGAATCTAACCAAGGAGGAATAGGAATGGAAGAGATAGAGGATTAGGGTTTAGAAAAGAAATTGGGGAAGAAACAAGAAAGAATTAGAGAAGAAAAACTCATTGATTGCCATAGCCACAGGTCGGAGGTCATGAGCTCTAATACCGATTAATAGCATTAGAAAGAAAGAAGTAGAGAATTAGAGAAGAGAAGGAGGATCAAAAGGGAGAAATAAGAAGGAAGAGATGAGGAAGGAGAAACAAGCAATCGGAGGAAGACAATTATGTATTTTCATTGATTGAAAATACCAAGATATAGAGTACTCTTTTATACAAGAATTATGTACAACTATAGTCTATAGGGTTGGGCATGGTTCGGTCTTCATTGCAACCGAAACTGAACTAATAGTTTTTATTGGTTGAGATTTTTTTGAGATAGTGATCCAAAACCAAACCGAATAAGCTTTGGTTCTTTGGTTTGGCTGCCAACTTTTTGGTTCCGTAGACATCTGTTTCAAGCTTAACCGTAATCCACCAAGTTACCTATTTTCCAACCTATTTTTCCACTCTTCAAGAGTCACTCAACAAAGTTTCCATGTTTACGGATATGAATGACGGTAAAAATCAAGGCAATCTATCTTTTTCCCTTTTATCCAGAGGCTCCAACTAGTGCAAGGACATGAAAGATGTTATGATTTCAAATTTAAAAAGTAGGGTAGGATAGGAGTATAAAAGAATTCTTTGTAATGAAATCGTTTCCTGTCACAATTATGGGTAGCAAATTAATCTAAAAATACAATGAATTAGATAAATAATAAATAAGGCTTTCAATTACATTACAAATAATTTCAGAAATTTCAAAGAGAGTTATGAATTTCAAAAAATTAAACCTTGAGGGTTTAGGTTAGAGATTTTTAGCAATTACCAGTACAAAAAAGCAACAATCACAAACTTACAATCAAATTAAGGTTACTTTTTTTCTTAGAGTTTCTATTCCAATTTCATAAACAAAATTAAAAATATCGTTTAAGTTTAATTACCTGAAATCAAAGTGAACCAAAGTCACAAATCAGACTTGAAAACCCAGATGGGTGAATAGGTGCAGATGCACTACACAAATATAACTGAAGCCAAACTAGATTAGGGTTTTCAAATGAGGAATTAGGGTTAGCAATGGATGATGAACAGAGTTAGCATTGTTTAGAGAAAGGATATGATTCGGGAATGGCCAAATAGGAATGAGAACTGGGAAGTGAGAAAAAGAAAGTAAAAGTGAGAAGCAAATACGAGATATCAAAGGCTTGCAAAGGAATACTCCATTCAAAAATTAGAGGGAATGGTTGAAAATTTTTAAATTGGGGAAAAATGTTTTGGGATGCGCTAGATGAAAATTTCTAAGAGAGAATGAATGAAATTAGGTTTTGAGAAGGATTAATTAAGGTTAAATGAAATTAAAACTGAAATGTGTATTTTATTTTTCTTAACAAATAATATGGGTTTTTGGGTTTATTATTCTATTGTTCTGTTGTTGAGCTTGGAACCAAACACCGTACCATTTTTATAAACAATTAAGGCTTCATGAGCCCTTGTCCTAGAGTTCGAAGCCTGTTTGTCCCCCGCACCGCAGGCCCAATTTCGACGCAGTTGGCAGGCAACCAATTAGTTGTGAGCCTGCGCGCCCAGCCCTACGACACTATAAG